TTTTGAGAACAGTGGCTTGAAGTCTGGTATTGAGATCCCTCCTACTTTACTCTTCTTTCTCAGGATTGCTGTGGCTATTCGGGGTCTTTTATTGTTCCAAATGAACTTTTGGAGTTTTTTTTCTAGGTCAGTGAAATATGCCATTGGTATTTTAATGGGGAGTTCATTGAACCTATAGATTGCTTTAGGAAGTATGGACATTTTGATGATGATTCTACCAATCCATGTTCTTCCATCTGTTTACATCTTCCTCTATCTCTCTTTTCAGTGTCGTGTAGTTTTCCGCAAATAGGTCCTTTACTTCCTTAAATTTATTCCTAGGTATCTTAATTTTTTTGGTGCGATGGTAAATGGAATTGTTTTAGTCACTGTTTCTGTAATTTCACTGTTGGTGTATAGAAATGCCATGGATTTCTTGGCGTTAATTTTGTATCCTGCTACATTGCCAAATTCATTTATTAAGTCAATTAGTTTTTTAATGGAGTCTTTTGGGTTTTTTATGTACAATATCATGTCATCTGCAAATAAGGATAACTTTACTTCTTTTCCAATTTGGATGCCTTTTATTTCCTCTTCTTGTCTAATTGCAATGGCTAGTACTTCCAGTACTATGTCTAACAGGAGTGGCGAAAGTGGGCATCCCTGTCTTGCTCCTGTTCTTAGAGGAAATGGTTTTAGTTTTTGCCCATGAGTATGATATTGGCTGTGGGTTTATCATATATAGCTTTTATTATGTTGAGGTATGATGCTTGTACTCCCACCTTGTTGAGAGTTTTTATCAGGAAAGGGTGTTGGATTTTATCAAATGCTTTTTCTGCATCAATTGATTTGACTATATGATTTTTATCTTTCAATTTGTTTATGTGATGTATCACGTTTATTGATTTGCGGATATTGTACCATCCTTGCATTCCTGGAATAAATCCTACTTGGTCATGGTGTATGATCTTTGTGATGTTCTGCTGGAGCCGATTTACTAGAATTTTGTTGAGGATTTTGGCATCTATGTTCATGAGGGATATTGGCCTGTAATTCTATTTCATTGAGTTGTCTTTATCTGGTTTTGGTATTAGGGTGATAATGGCTTCATAGAAGTTTGGAAGTGTTCCTTCCTCTTGAATTTTTAGGAATAGTCTGAGGATAGGTTTTTCTTCCTTGAATGTTTGGTAAAACTCTCCTGTGAAGCCATCTGGCCCTGCGCTTTTGTTTGCTGGAAGCTTTTTGATAACTGTTTCAATTTCTTCCCAAGTCACTGGTCTATTGAGATTTTTAGATTCTTCCTGATTGAGTTTTGGAAGTTTGTATTTTTCTAGGAATATGTCCATTTCCTCCAGGTTGTTCAGTTTGTTGGAATAGAGTTGTTCATAGTATTTTATAACAATCCATTGTATTTAGGTGGAGTCTGTTATTTCACCTCTTTCATTTCTGATTTTGTTTGAGTCCTCTCTCTTTGTTTCTTGGTTAGCCTGGCTAGAGGTTCATCTATCTTGTTTATCTTTTCAAAGAACCAGCTCTTGGTTTTATTGATCTTATGTATTGTTTCTTTGGTCTCTATGTCATTTATCTCCGCTCTGATTTTTGTTATTTCCTTCCTTCTGCTTACACTGGGTTTTTCTTGTTGCTCTTTTTCTAACTCTTTGAGTTGTAGTTAGATAATTTGTTACCATTTTTTCTTGTTTTTTGCAATAGGCTTGTAGGGATATGAACTTCCCTCTCAAAAATGCTTTTGCTGTGTCCCATAAATTTTGGATTGTTGTGTTTTCATTGTCATTTGTTTCCAGGATGTTTTTAATTTCTTCCTTGATTTCTCTGGTAACCCAGTCCTTGTTTAATAACATGCTGTTTAGTCCCCATGTGTTTCTTAGATTTTTATTGTAGTTAATTTCCAGTTTTATGCCACTATGATCTGAGAAATGCTTGATATGATTTCTATCTTCTTGAACTTGAAGAGACTTTGCCTATGTCCCAAAATGTGGTCTATCTTTGAGAATGACCCACTTGAGAAGAATGTATATTCTGTGGCTTTGGGGTGAAATGTTCTGAAGATGTCGATTAATTCCATCTGGTCTAATGAGTCATTTAGGATTGATATTTCTTTGCTGATTTTTTGTTTAGATGACTTGTCCAAGGGTGACAGTGGGGTATTAAAATCTCCTACTAAGATTGTATTGCTATTAATCTCTCCTTTAATGTCGTCCAGTAGTTGTTTTTTTTTTTATGTATTTGGGTTTACCAGTGTTATTTCTTCTTGGATTGCTCCCTTTAGTATTATGAAGTTGCCTTCATTATCTCTTGTTATGTCCTTCACTCTGAGATCTAATTTGTCAGATATAAGTATTACTAGCCCAGCTTTTTTTTTTTTTTTTTTTTTTTTTTTTTCCATTTCCATTCGCCTGGAAAACATTTTTCCATCCCTTCACCCTCAGTCTGTGTGTGTCTTTTTTTCCTGAAGTGGGTTTCTTGTAGACAACAGATATATGGGTCTTGTTTTCTTATCCAATCTGTTACCCTATGTCTTTTGACTGGAGCATTTAGTCCATTTACATTTAAAGATATTATTGATAGGTACTCATTTGATGCCATTTTTATTCTATATCCCTGTGTTCCTTCTTCGCTTCCTATTTCTTTATTTTTACAGTAGACCCTTTAGCATTTCTTGCATTGCTAGTTTGGTGGATATAAATTCCTTTAGACTTTTTTTGTCTGTGAAGCTCTTGATTACACCTTCAATTTTGATTGATAGCCTTGCTGGGTACAGTATTCTTGGATTCAGACCCTTCCTTTGCATGACTTTGTGTATTTCATCCCATTCCCTTCTGGCCTGATTAGTTTCTGTTGAGAAATCAGTTGCTAGTCTGATGGGGGTTCCTTTATATGTAACTTTCTGTCTCTCTCTGGCTGCTTTTAAGATTCTTACTTTGTCGTTGGTGTTTGCCAATTTAATTATAATGTGACTTGGCGTCGGTCTTCTGGGATTCATTTTGCTTGGAACTCTGCGAGCATCTTGGGATTTGTGTGGGTTTTTTCTTCTCTATCTCAGGAAAGTTTTCTGTCATTATTTCTTGAAATACTTTTTCCATGTCTGTTTCCTTTCCTTCTGGAACTCCCATTATTCTAATATTGTTTTATTTTGCATTGTCCCAAAGTTCCCTTAAGCTCTCCTCCTGCTTTTTAATTTTTTTTTTCCAGAAGCTGCTCTAATTGGGTATTTTTTCCATCTTGTCTTCTAGCTCACTGATGCGATCCTCTGCTTCTTCTAGTCTACTCTTGATGCTTTCTATTGAGTTCTTCATAGTAGCAATGTCATTTTTCATTTCTTCTTGGTTCATCTTCATTTCCTCTTGGTTCTTCTAAAGTTCCTCTTGGTTCTTCTAAAGTTCCTCTTGGTTCTTCTTCATTTCCTCTTGTTTCCTATTCATATAATCAAATTTCTCTTCCATTCTTTTTAGCCATTCTATGATCATTACTCTGAGTTCTTGCTCTGGTAGATTGCTTGCCTCTAACTCGTTTACTTCCTTTTCTGGTGATGCCTACTTTTCTTTCATGTGGGGGCTATTTGTCTCCCCGTGGTCTCTCTTTTCAGGATGTCTGGTTATGTGGTGTTCCTTCTCCTTTCCGTGGGTGATTGAAGAACTCCCTTGAATCCACGTGTTTGCGCCGATTGGGGCGTCACAGCTGCTTGAAAGAGTTATTCTTAATAAGCATACCAAAGGGAGACAGAAAAGAATAAGAAAGAAAAAATGAAAACTGTGCAGTATAAACATTTCCACCCTGAATAATGACTATAAGTGACATAGGGTATCAACTTTATGTATCTGGAAAGACTTTAATTTTTAGAATACCGGTATTTAAAAGAAAAAAAAAATCATCCTCCCAAGTACTTTAAAGCATATCAAACTATAGATTTGCATTTGATTAAATCTTACAAATATGTAGAAATGGGAATCCAAATATTTTAATTCTCTGAATATACAGAACCAAATAAGGCACAGGGACCTAAAAATAAAACAAAGCAAGTCCACAATGTCTGGGTAACATGAGTTACCTTCTATTTTGTCCTGGAAGGTAATTAAATAGTTCCCTCTGTTGCATTTGTCCACATTTATTCAGATTAGAGATATAGCATTCTGAAATTTAGAACATTATAAGCTATATACTCTTCCAAACTATTGTTGATATAATCTAATTCAAAATAATAAAAAAACGTTAGATTTTCATGAAGCATACTATCCTATTACTTACAATAATCAGTAAATTAGGATGATCATTGCCTTGCCAATCAATCCAGGAGGCTCTCAATTTCCCCATTTAGCTTTCAAACCACCTGTACAGCTGTGCATTAATCACTGACACCCTGAACAGACGTCCCATGCTGATCCCAGTGCTCACCTGCGGCAGAGAACGAACATGCACAGCTATCACACCACGGCAGTGCAGGTTTGTCCTTATTTGACCTTTTTTGCTGCATTTTTTCTTTATATTTATTTGAGTAAGTGGAAGAAGGGGAAAAAATCAAATGGTTGACATTGTAAGAACCATTATCTCTACACTTAACACAACTGAGATAAGAATAGAAACGAAGAGGAACGAGAAATCTTTTGCCTCATAGGTCATAGGTCATAGGACTTAAACCAGTTGACTGTGTTCAATTGAGAAAAAAGGCAAATGCAGAAATATTGAAAATAAGTTATCTAAGATTATGTCTAAAAAATGAAGCATAATTGGGAATGGCAGGGTGATTTAAAATCTCTACAACTCCTTTATATTTCATTCCACTCTCTTTTGCAGAACCAATTTTCACATACATTTTAAGGAATGATTTGAATATGATCTGAAAGAGAGGAACTTCCTGTACTGAAAAAGAAAAAAAAATTGGCCCAAGACCAATTTGTTTAGATTTACTGAATTATTCTACATTAAATCTAAATGAATGAAGATTAAAAAAAATTGCCTTAGCAATCAAATGCAAACCAAAAAATTAAACACTAATCTACAACAAATTTGCTACACAAGAGACATTTATTAATGTTCTGTTGTATTTACAGTCTTAACATAGCAAACCAAGGTGAATAATCACTTGGCAGAAAGCACATCATTCTACATTTATAGCACATCAGTTTCTGCTAACACATTGTAAAAGCAAGTAGTACATACAGTATGTTAAGGATCATCTCAAAAGTTCCAAGCAAATTCTTTGCTCCTAGTAATTAATCCCCTCCCTACTCCCAGCCCTTGGCCTAATCATCATTAGGAGATAAGAGAAAAAGAAAAAGAAGGGATAGGAGATGTTAATCATACAGAAAGTGTCCAGAATTGCATTTTATTAAACTGTATTTGTTCCTGTCCTTTCTATTTTATACAGTAACAACACATTTACAATCCCTTAGGCACACAATAAAGAACAACAGGTACTGCAAAATTTAGAATACAAACTATAAAAAAAATTAATGCTTATTATTTTCCAATTAAGAACATATTCTTGACCAAACCTCAAATGTATTTGCACTATGGTTTTGTTTTCAGGTGTTCACAATACAATTGCATCAATTTCTAGATTAATTTTCACAGTAAATATGATTATGTGCAGAAATGAATGCAGTCATAAGGAATTTTTAACTTTTGAGAAAACCCCTTTAAAATGGCCAGCATTACACATTATCTTACACTAAAGTATTTTATGCCAAAGTCATTTTGAGATGGAAGATGAATAAAGCAAGATTGCCCCCTAGTGACTACAGGGACAAGGCTCATGCTATTTAAAATGACTACAAACCATAGATAAGGCATTATTAATACATCACAGACTTGATTGCGAGAGCTTTTTCAAACATTAACCACTAATGATTCCATGATTACAGAATTCTGCATTAACTACTAAAATTTAACATCTAGGAACAAATAGTGAGACATGATCTTTTTCAACAGTACTTTATTTTGTTGAAGAAGGTGATTATTCCTGTGTTCTGCATCTTGATTCACTTCCTGCAGGTGTTCTCTTGCTTCTTGAGAGAGAATTCATAAACGCAGGAAGGCCTTTGCCAGAAAACATCTGCCAGAGAAGGATATTGAATATTGAAACTCTAGTTAGTGTGTTATTTTGGCTGAGAGAAGGATGTGGTCACAAAAGAAGGCAGAATGTTTAGAGACACAAGAAATACATTTTAACACAGCTTTAAGATTACTATACACTGACATCAAAGCAATCAATAAACATTAAATTTTCAGTTCTTAAAGTTATCAAGGACACTAACTAGAAAGAACTTGAATGTTTTCTTGAAAACCTATGAAGTCGGGGGTCTCGCTCTCCAAACTTCCTAACAAAAGAATGAAATGCAAGTAGCAATTACTTCATCTCACACTTAACCTCAACAGCAATGACTCAAACTTGAAGACAAAGAGACAGTAAGATCCAAGCACATACATAGGTCATTTTCCTAATACACCTGAAGCTATTGTTTACCCTGCCAAAGCTGCCAGGTCTCATACAATGAAGATTTTAGTAAGGATGCCAATCAAGTCATGTTGTCTCAGAGTGTGGCAAAGTTAAAAAATGACTTGTAAACTCAGAGTTATCACAAGTACTTTTAAAAATAAATTAGAAAAATAGGCAACGTTATTTTGGGCATGTGTCTCTGAAGAAAAGATATCTGTAGCCCCAAGCTACTTTTTAAAAAGGGATTGTATAGCCCTACCCAGGTGGCTCCTTTGATAGTTGTCCCATACACCAAAAGGTTTTGAGTTCAATCTCCGGTTGGGGTGTATATGGGACTCAACAGATCCATGTTTTTCTCTCTCCCATCCTCTCTCTAAAATCAATAAACATATCCTCAGTGAGAATTAAAAAAACAAATAAATAAAAATAAAATGGAATATATATGACTGAAATAAATAATGTCCATAAATTTTGTTAAATGCAGTTTTCATCTAATACTTTGAGGCATTTCTGTACTGGCATAATAAATTGTTTTAGTTCTCATGGAAATAATGGGGAAAAATACAAATAATTCCCTATATTAATGCTTAAAAAAAAAAAGAAAGAGCTACATTAACTATTTAACAAATATTTATTGAGAAAGTACTTTATGCTACTCTGCACCAAGAGAATTGGATGACCTCATATATAGGCAGGCCGTTAGCTTACTTTTCCATCTTTCCAAATTACTATAAAAGCCACAAGCAGCCCTTTTATATCTTTTCTGATTAGACTTCTATGTACATGTTTAAAAGGCTGACAAAATGCAGAGAAGCTAAACATTGGAGGAAATCCACATATTCTTTATAAACTTACCTAGAGGCCTGGTGCACGCATTCATGCAAGGGGGGGGGGCGCGCGCGCTATGAGGTGTGTGTCCCTCAGCCCAGCCTGCACCCTCTCCCAACATGCGACATCCCTCTCATAATCCAGGACAGCTAGCTCCTAACTGCTCACCTGCCTGCCTGCTTGATTACCCCTAACCATTTCTGCCTGCCAGCCTGATCACTCCTAACCACTCTCCTGCCAGCCTGATTGACACCTAACTACTCCCCTGATGGCCCAATTGCTCCTAATTGCCCTCCCATGCACACCTGGTCGCTCCCAACTGCCCTCCCCTGCTGGCCTAGTAATCCCTAACTGCCCTCCCCTGCCGGCCTGGTTGCCCCAACTGCCCTACCCTACTGGCCTGGTCACTCCCAACTACTCTCCCCACCTGCAGGCCTGGTCTCGCCCAACTGCACTCCTCTACCAGCCCAGTCACCCCTAACTGCCCTCCCCTACTGGCCTGATTGCCCACAACTGCTCTCCCCTGAAGGCCATCTTGTGGTGGCCATCTTGTAGCCATATGGTGGCCATCTTGTGTTGGAGTGATGGTCAATTTGCATATTACTCTTTTATTAGATAGGATATTTGACCAAACTCCAAATTCAGTTGGTGTTTTGATTTAAAGTAAACCAATGATACTGGCACAAGTGAAACTTTTCTTTAGACTGAAAAACCTAAAAATGTGCAGGGTCAAAGATGCAAGAATTTAAGAAATTCTAAAAGCCAAGCAGAAACAAAAAGAAAATTGGTGGACTGATGTCAAATGGGGGTTTTTGCAATGAGTCCAGACTCAATACAAATCTAAGTAACTTCAGTTTTATCAGTTTCCATAAATAGATAAAAACTAATGTAACAATTATTAAGTTGAAACACTAGAGTTTGCAAAAACATATAATACAGTCCAGATGACTACCAAGCTACTTTCCTCACTGCTTCCACAGCAGTTAATTAGCTTTAATAGATCCCTCAAGCCAGAGTCACCCAAAAAAACATTAAAAACCCACTAAGAGGACAACCTACATGGGTTGCTATGGGTGATCTTAATCACCATACAAACTCCACATGAAAAAGACTACTTAAAGAGGCACAGTTGTTATTATAATGGTGGAACATGAACTGGACGAAAGACAGGTTTTAGGGCCTCAGACATCATTACTAAACTGTACATCATACTTCAGAAGCAAAAGGAATTCAACAGTCTATGAATCATTTAATTGCAAGAGGAAGACAACCATTTCTTCTTGGACACTGATTTTTTAAAGAAAAAAATCACACTGGAAACATTTTTACTATCTTGCTACTTTATAACACGTCCAATAAATCAAACTTTAGCTTGAGGTGAATTTTCTCTAATAAGAGATATTAAAGGGGGAGGGAATACTATAGAAAAAGGGAAATGAAAACATTTGGAAGAAGTTAAATCATTATATGGAAAAGGTTAAACTATCTTAACACTAGCAGGTATAGCTCACCAGTCTTATCAATCACTTTCTAATTACAAAGAGCCTTATTATCTCATTAATGCCAGATCTTACAAGTTTCTCTTTCAGATGTTGTTAAAATAAGAGAATTTAAAATCTATTATGCTTCATATGCACAAGTGCTTTTCAAATAGCAGACACCAGGTAACTGTGCTACCACCTTGCAGCGATTAATTACCTTCGATGCCCCGGCAGCACCAGAGGAGTGCTAGTGCATACAAATGTAGTGCTGGTAAGAGAAAGTATGAATACATCACATATTTTAGCATTTCAGATAAAGATGTTTCTACAAGGTATCTGTTTCTTTTTTTACAACACAGAAGGAACATGTTGTCTTTTCTGCTTCCTGTCACACTTCTTGATGCCCATGTGCCACCTCCAGCAGTTCCTTCTGGCTTTTTCGGCTTTAGGTAGGAAACCAGATTTCCTTTTTTAACCTTAAATGGGCTTCATAAGGGAACCATGTAAGCTGCCCCTATGCTAGTAACACATGAGCTTTAGTGCTCGGCTTTTATAACATCTACTTGGGCTCGTTACTAGTAAAAAGAACCCCTGGGTCATTTCAAGGTGTGTGTGTGTGTGTGTGTGTGTGTGTGTGTGTGTGCGTGCGTGAAAAGTCACTATTCCTATACCTTTTCCAGTAAAATACTAGATCTTAGTACAGCATGGGAATTAAGTTATTTTGTTCTAGCAAGGTTATTTTTAAAATTCCCTACCAGTGTCTTTCTGGCTTACAAGAAGTAAGCCTCTAGCTAACTTTTAACTAGTGACATCTCTATTAAAGAAAAAAAAAAGAAGTCTCAATGAAAGAAAATAAAATATTTATTTTCACATAATGGTTTTCTAGCACATATTTAAACTTAATTAAAACTAAATTTCCTCTGAAACAGAGAAAGAAAATATTCTATATTTGGATCTAGATGGATAGTTCTCCCTATCAATTGTCAAAAGAAATTCAGTCTCATGAATTTATAGCTTACCCCCCTGGGTATACTGAAAATTAGTAAGGAAGTCATTAGAATTCCAGTTGCTGCGCTAAGTCCCCAAACCCTTAATTTAGAGCTCTGAATCCTCTAGGCATGTCAGGAATAATTTAGAATCAACTATAATAGAACAGTCCAGTCAGACAGAAGAGCAAAGAAACCCTACCCTGCACTCCAATGGGGGAAGCTCGCAAACCTCAGAGTTTTTGAGAACTCCTGAAACTCCAATCTAAGGCTTCTGACTCCCAAATTCAGACAAGCAGGCCTATAACCAACCTCACAGATCCAACAGCATTATTTCCAAGAACTGCCTCGTTCAGACCATAACCCTAAAGATGCTTCATTTTACACTTAGGATACACCATGAAACATTTCAGAGATTTTAGAAAATCAAAACAAATAAAAACCAGCCTGGCCAAAGTGACTCAACTGGTTGAGTGTAGTCCTGTGCCCTGAAAGACTGCCAGCTTAATTCCCAGTCAGGGCATGTGCTATGTACCAAAGGCAGCTGATACCGGTTTCTCTCTCACACTGCTGTTAATTTCTCTCCCTCCCTCTCTCTCTCAGCATGTCTTTGGGTGAGGATTTAAGAAAATAACCAGCCCTGGCCGCTGTATCCCAAAGGCTGGAGTGTCAGCCAGCACACCAAAGGTTGCAGGTGCAATTCTGCTCAAAGGTAGGTATCTAGGTTCTGGGTTTGTTCCCTGGCCCTGGCTGGGGCAAGTACAGGAGGCAATCAATCAATGCGTCTCTTTCACATCCATATTCCTCTCTGTCTCTCCCCCTCCCTTTCACTCTCTAAAAATCAATGGGAAAAATATCCTCTAGAGAGGATTAACAGAAAAAGAAGAGGGGGAAAAAATCAACAAATTTACAGAACTTTAAATAAAGTGCCTAACAATTCAATAAACCTGAAAAGTTCACGCTTTCTCTGGCCATTTGTTAGGTATTATTGAATAGAAGCAAGATGAAGGTGTACAGTTCCTCAATAAAGACTGAGCTTCTAACACAAGAATGAAGGGAACAGAGCTGTGATCTCAGTCCACTTAAAAATTCAAAGCTACCTTTTGACTAGACTTAGAGAAAACATTATTTAAAGAAAATCTGTCCCCTCAGTATACTTTGGTTTAGGGCAGTGGTCGGCAAACTGAGGCTTGCAGGCCTCATGCGGCTCTTTGGCTCCTTGAGTGTGGCTCTTCCACAAAATACCATGGCCTGGGCGAGTCTATTTTGAAGAAGTGGTGTTAGAAGAAGTTTTAAATTTAAAACATTTGGCTCTTAAAGGAAATTTCAATTGTTGTACTGTTAATATTTGGCTCTGTTACAGACTAGTGAGTTTGCAGACCACTGGTTTAGGAAAAATCTAAATCTGCAGGTGATTTTAATGCCCTTTGTAAGAAGGTGAGCTATGGTACCCCCAAAGGATTAACTGACTTCTGAACCTGTGGTAGGTAAGAGTTACATCCAAAACATGGAAATGACTATAAAATATAGTAAGACAGAAAAAAGATGACAATTGTAATTACATAAAACTACAAAGAACATTTAATAAGCCTCTTAGAGTTAAGATGTCCTAGATACAAAGAAAGACCCATCATCAGGCATCAAGGCCTAGGCCAGTGTTGTCAATGTTCATGTGTGTTCAGATTTTGTAACCTAATTCAAACTCAGGTCATGCTTGAATTTAAGCACACTATAAACATAACCTTTCTTATTTAAAAAAATATATATTTTATTGATTTTTTTATAGAGAAGAAGAGAGAGGGATACAGAGCTAGAAACATCGATGAGAGAGAATCATCGATCAGCTGCCTCTTGCACACCCCCTACTGGGGATGTGCCCGCAACTAAGGTACATGCCCTTGACCGGAATAGAACCAGGGACCCTTCAGTCTGCAGGCCGATGCTCTATCCACTGAGCCAAAATGGTTTCGGCTAACCTTTCTTTTTTAAAAATCATAAAACACACTGGGTTTTATTTTATTTTATTTTATTTTATTTTAATTTTTTAGGGAGAGTGGAGAGAGAGGGAAAGACAGAGAGAAATATCGATGTGAAAGAAACACATTGATTGGTTGCCTCTGGCAAGGTCCAAGGCCAGGGCCAGGGCCTGAGGAGCCTTGACCGGACCCTTTGGTCCCAAGGCCAACGTTCTACCCACTAAGCCAAACTGCCTAGGGCCACACTGGTATTCTTAATGACTAAAATTAATTCAAATAAAAGTGCATAGTTCCTTAAGAAAACAACTTTGACCAACACAAAACTAAGTTCTTTTATGCTTGAATTTTTATAAGAAACGCTATGAATACACTCCACCTGCATGTATCTGAGCTTATCTAGCACTAAAGCCTTCTGTTACTTGCATAAAAGTATACATGTAAAGTGTTTAATACGATATCTGATATATGGAAAAGTTGGTGTTAGTTTTTATTATGCATGCTTGAAACAAATTTTGGTACACTCAAGTTCTCATCATATTTTGCTGCTTAAAACTTTCAATGCTATACCACCAACTGGCAAATTAAATACTTTCTTTTCTAGAAACACTGGAGGCCCACTGCACGAATTTGTGCGCATTGAAAGGAAATTAATTAGAAGAAATATTTTAGAGGCCAGGGAGGGACTGAGGGAGATTGGCTCCAGGGTGGTTGGGCCTGTCTCGCTCAGTACCAGTCGACTGGACCCCCAGCAGCAAGCTAACATACTGGTTGAAGTGTCTGCCCCCTGGTGATCAGTGCGCGTCATAGTGACTGGTAGAGCAGTTGACCAAAGGTCAGACACTTAGCATATTGGGCTTTTATATAGATACATTCTGAGACCTACACAAATCTTCAACATTGAGAACTCCACCCTTAGCATATGATTAGCTAAATAAACTATAACCCAACAGCAAATATTGAACAAAATATTGATGTTCAGATGGTGTTAGCCTTGAATTGAGCCAACATGTCACTAAGTTTAAAGTGCTGCTCTATGAATTCTATTGGCTTCACTGCAAATGGGCTTAGTATTCAAGATATTAGTATTTCAAACTGTGGTCCCTTGGGCAAGCTTCATACTTCTCATCCTGAATTTCTGCTCTCAACTCTGCTTCAGGTGATTCTGAAATTCTTCCCCACCCAGCTAATTTCCACTAATATAAAAGCTACCTTTAACTGTCCTGGCCCCAAGATGTTGCTCAAGATACCTAGGGGCCAGGCCAGGGCTGATCCACCATCCTCAAGAGTGTTAAGGGATAAAGAGTAAAGTCCAAGGAGGACCATTAGATTTGGTACCAGAGAAACCTGGCTGGTGTAATCACCATCTGTTCTCTTTTAGATCAAAGAGCCTCTAACAGGGCTTAGTCCTCCTATTCTAGGTAGGAGAAAAAACCTTTTCTCCTCTTCCTTTCGTTTAACACCCCCACTCCCCACCAGAATGGTAAAATCAGGGTGCAACCCTGAAACAAAGCACCAAAAAAGCATCCCTAGTTTTTAAGGAATGGAAGCCTTGGTGGGCTTGTTAGAAGTCCAGGCACAAGGAGTTCCTAAAGAACACATGGTCTCTCCCAGCTTGGGGGTTTAGGGTCCTACTTAATTACAGCTGATAGAACTCTTCCCAGTATTGCCTTCTGGAACTGAAACTACAATAAGCAGTGACTTCGAGATTTGAGATTCAAAGATCTAAATCCCAAGACTCAGCCAAATATCCCAGCACCCTGATGACTACTAAGACCCCGGCCTTGTCTATATTATCAAAACATGAGATAATGTTTCCTCCTATGGCAGTTCGCTAACTTACCTTTTCCCACAACTTTTCGTAGAAACACCCCTCATGGAACCGGAAGCTGCTAAAAGGCAAGGACTGTAGTTTCATTACCTTCTCCATATCCCCTATCACAGGAGGTACACTCCACTCTGAACTTGAATAGAAATCTCAATTATCACATCCTTACACTGGGATTAGAGTAAAGTTTGATTTTTTTTTTTAAATACCTTTAATAAATAAAGAGAACTCTGGTCCTGGGGAGATTTGAGAAAGTTTCTGGCATCTGCCGAACCTTTGCATAATTGATAAATCCTCTGAGAAACAGGAGGAAGCCTAATTTAAAAAAGAAAAACCAGAAATAAATTTATAACTTCTGCATTAAGTCTCCTCCCTGGAAATGTCCCTCTTGATAGCACTAATTCATCGTTTTTTCTACTAAAAACTATCAAGACATGAGCAACTTCCTCCAAAGCTTTCAAAGGATTTCCACACCGAATTTTCCATTTCTCATTTTAAAAAAACAAACCCATAATATCAAAAAATAAATAAAAGCCTTTTGCACATTCAGAATCTAATTGGTCTAAAAGGAAATAAAAAACGATGGGGCTAAACATCTACATTTGAAAGCCTCAGTAAGAAACATTATCAAAATCTACCTTCTGAGTTCCAAAAAAGCATTCCAAGATAATTAACTCAAAACAAAACAAAAAAAAGAGAGAAGTTATAAACTGATTTTCTCAAGTGAAAACAAGTTTCATCCTTTCTTGCCATGTTATTTTTTTTCTTGTCAACAGTACATAATGTTGACCACTAGATGTCAGGATCCCCTTACCTATTACAGTGATTCTTTTATTTTCAACTCTAACCGCTTATTTCTTCATTCTTAAGAAATACATACAAATAGGGCACTCTGCCATTTACTTACCAGGCAAGTAAAAGAGTAAGATTGATTTGTATGGCTACACCAGATTCTATACATTCACGGAGTCTGCATCTCTTGGAAGAGTGAGCTGGAAGGCGGTGTGCCCTCGAATGGGAGCTCAGACACTCAGCCCTCCCCTGAGTCTTAGACACATTTTTAAACACCTTTAGACCTGGTCCTTATAGAAAAAAAAAAAACTCCAAAAAGGTTGGTTCTCTCTGCAAGAGAAGTTCCAAAAATGATCCAAACACTGGGTCATCCATCATGCACTTAATACACATCCAAAGTCTCACCACTTTCTGCTCAGTACTAAGCAGCAAGATAGCAAGAATGATCAATTATAAGGTATTATAATTTATATCGATATGTCATATCTTCAATATAAAGAAGGAAATCAGCCCATTAAACTTCTTTAAATTATCTACTGCCAATAATCAACATGAAAGTATGCTTAATGGCTCTTCTTTGGTTCTTTCAGATTTGCTTAGATTGAGCTTGGGGGAAGAAGAGGAGTCAGCTTTTCTCTTAAAGACAGTTTAAGAATAAGAAAGGCAAGGAACTATTCCTCCAAAGTAACTCTCTGGCAGGTCATTTTTATGATTAAGCTTCTCAATAAAGATGGGGGAGGGGATCATATTTCTATGTCCTTGGAATTACAATGACTATTGGTAAAGTAGAAAGATGAGTAATGGCATGATGGATGACTTGTATTTTCTAAATATAATTTAGGGTCAGCAATGCATGAGACAAAGAAGGTTAAGTCCTGAATGTATTAAGTACCTGCTGGGCATAGTGCTACACTGTGCTAGCCAGAACCATTAGTAGCACTGCCATCAGGGGTCTAAATTAAGGAGGCAGCAAAAAGGCCCAAACTAGGAAATAGGAGAAAGAGATGTCACAGAAGCAGAGCAAGGCAATTATACCATCTTTAATAGACATATGGATATAATGGCCCTGCTATCATTTTATAGAAATGGTAGTGGTCTGTAATTATCAAAAATATTTTTTTTACAAAGAATGAAGAAGCCAACAATATTTACCTCAATGTTCATTTCTTTGCTTTAAAATATCTTAGAAAAAAAATTTAAATAAATATTTAGTGTAAAAAATAAAACCTTAAGACCAACCTGAAATGTCTGATATTTAAAAAAAAACACAAAAAAAAAAACTCTGCCCAACACAAAAGAAATTCTTATTTTTATAACAAACTAAAGAATTCTGGAAATCCAATAGTAGTTCTTTCAGAAATTATGTCTAACAGGGCTATATATTTTCTGTTTTCTCCTGACAGATCCAACACACATACTCATGAGTAGTTCAAGTGGTTACAATATGCTTATAAGCAATTTGGGGTTAAGTCTATGAGTTTATGGCAATAATTCACAAGGGGGGGAAAAACCCAGACTATAAAGTCTTCTTATCAGTGTCCCACTGGTCATGGGAACCTGAGAAGTGAATACAAATGAGTTAGGAAAAACCTACGACGACTAACGAACATTTTATCGATATTCATTTTATTCAGATGGTGAAAGCCTAATTCTTAAGAGAGAAATATTTTTAAAATTATACTTATTGTTGGTTAATCTACCACTGAATAATATGATGAGGGTTTACTAAAAGTAATCTCACTTCTAAAATTTAACATAATCTTTTCTCTCCTTTGTGTTAAAAGCACTTACCTAAAACCAGGAACACCCACCAGAGCCAATACTGACCATCAAAGTATCCAGGGAAATAAGTGGAAAACTGAAAAACAAAACAAAAACAAAAACATTTCATAGCAGCTTAGCAGATATAATTTCACATTTTAACTTACAGGCACACAAAACATAAAAACTTTATTTTGTATATGAATGTTAACCTTTACCTCTTAAAAATAATAAAAGTGCCCTAGAAGGTTTGACTCAGTGGATAGAGCTTCGGCCTGCGGACTGAAGGTTTGATTCACATGCCAGTAAGAGGTGTGCAGGAGGCAGCCAATCAATGATTCTCTCTTATCATTGGTATTTCTCTCTCTTTCTTTCCTCTCTAAAACCAATAAAAATATCTTTAAAAATAATAATAAATAAAAGTATTTTTTATATTACTGGTTTGAAGTGCTTACAACATAAACAAATATATTTGTTTTAATGGAAAAACAGTCTTGTCCTCTAGCCATGCCTTCATCTTGAAAACTTTCTCATGTACATAATGATAACTACATTCCTTTCAGAGGATGTTATTCTGGACAGTGGGAATTGAAGCCTCCTGAGAAGATTTCCCTGCTCTTAAAGGGAAAAGGAAAAGAACCAACAGTTCACTTTTTTCTGCTGAGCACCGTGAATTTCTGTGACAATGCCTTCACCTCAGGGAGGAGCAGCTATACCAACATGCTTAACAGTTGTCTCTGATGATGTCAATAAAACACTGATTTAACTAATCTCCATGTCAAGACTTGTTTTCTTAGATAATAATTCCTCCCCGCCCCCCGCTGTTTTCCAAGCCATTTTGAACTAAGTTTTTGTTATCTGCTTACAAAGCCATCCTAACTGATACAAATTGATTAATTAAATTCAGTTTTTAAATTTAATTAAAAAAACAAACAAAAAAAACCCGCCTGGTAACTAATTTTATGTTTTCTATTGGAGGCTTTGATGTTCAAAAATTTAACAGTTTGTCTATGTTAAAACCTGAGTATTAAAATATACTATTTTATTTCTTAATAAAATGACAATGAAGATTTAGAGAAAGAATGAGAAATCTCTTTAGGGTTTGGGATCTTAACCTCAAATCCATGTTTTAGATGAGTACATATTAGCTGTCTAGAGGGAAAGCCCGTAACTTTTATCAGATTCTCAAAGGAACTTTGGCTCTAGCCGGTTTGGCTCTGTGGATAAAGTGTAGGCCTGCGAACCAAAGGGTCCCTGGTTTGATTCCAGTCAAGAGCATGTACCTTGGTTGCAAGATCCTCCCCACCCAGGCCCTAGTCAGGGTGCATGCAAGAGGCAATCACATAAAGAAGAAGGAATTCTCATCATTTGCAGCAACCTGGATGGAATTGGAGAACATCATGCTGAGTGAAATAAGCCAATCAATGAAAGAGAAACACCACATGACCTCACTCATTTGTGGATAATAAAGAGCATTATAAACTGATGAACCAAAAGATAGATATAGAGACAGTAAAGCAACAAGCAGATTGTCAAATTACAGCGGGGAGGGGAGGAGGATCTGGGGGAGATAATAGATCAACCGAAGGACTTGTATACATGCATATAAGTACAACCAATGGACATAAAACTATGGGGAGGGAGGGGATATGGGGGAGGGAGGGAGGGGGGCAAAAAAAAATCATTAAAATATGTAAAAAAAAAAAAAAAAGAAATAGTTATTATACATTTAAAAAAAAAAAAAAAAAAGAGGCAATCAATTGATATGTTTCTCTCTCTTCCACTCTCTCTAAAAGATCAATGGAAAAATATCCTCAGGTGAGGAATAACAAAACAAACAAACAAACAAAAAACAAAAAAAGGATATTGGAATCCTAAAAAATGGTAACTTCTTTAGAATAAATAAGTTTCAAAAACCCCAGTGGTCAGTCAACTCCCAAAAACGAATTATAATTTGTTTTATTTATTTATAAAGTTGTCAATAGCAATAAACTTACTTGAAATCAGAAGACACTTGAAGAGACTAGATCTTTTATAACTTTAAATTACTTCATGCAATTCTAACTTCCAAATCACTGAAGATATCTCTAATTTACTTTACAGATAAGAACCCCTAATGGAGCAGCACTTGTTAAACAGCTAAAGATAAATAAAAAATAAAATAAAAATAAAAAGTAGGTAGTGAAAAACTGTAGGAGAGATGCCCCAATATTCACTAGATTTGACTACAAAACTTGTATGCGTGAACCAATTCAAATGACTTAGGTTCAACTTCATGATACCAGAACAAAGACAAACCAAAAATCATTTTAAATGTTGACATAATGCAAATAAAGCAAATGAAAAAAACAAAACATTCAAAATTATTCTATTTTTTATTTCTCTGATGTACGACTTACCCTGACAATCAAGATCCACTTAATTAGGGAGAGACCAAATCCTGAAATGGCCCCATACCTTCCTGCCGCTGAAGTGGTCAGGCAAAAAGACAGGAAAAACCCAATCCAGTTAAAGAGGAATGCCACTGTAAAAGCAAAAAGAAAATAGATGTCAGACATGTCCTATTACCCTAGAGCAAAAGTGTGCCCTCTGACTTGCTTTTGCTTAAATGGCTTTCCCAAGAATAAAAGAGAGCCCAACGTGCCCTCCACAACCCTTACCCACTCCCCCACAGCACCCAAGAAAACATCCTCTCTGAATATCAAATGAAACACTATTATAGCTACTGCTGTTCACTTTCAAAAATGCCTTACTGTATACTCATGACTTTGCTGTAGGTTTTACACTTCAGTAAATAAAATAAATGCCTTAAACATTAAATTAATGCTCCCAAGTAATTTGATTCAAGACATTCATCTTCCTGTTTCTATAAATTTTGATAGTTTACATAACGTCACCTCTAAAAGCACTGCATTTCCTTCATATATTTTTAATACAACAAATAAAAGAAATAAGGTCGCTCACTTTAAGTGAGGCACATGAAAAGATAAATGCAAAACATTAAGAGGACAAAAATCATGCTGACTGATCTGTTAGAAAATAAAACCTCACAAAAAACAAAATTCGCCGGGACCGGTTTGGCTCAGTGGATAGAACTTGGCCTGCGGACTGAAAGGTCCCGGGTTCGATTCCGGTCAAGGGCATGTACTTTGGTTGCGGGCACATCCCCAGTAGGGGGTGTGCAAGAGGCAGCTGGTCGATGATTCTCTCTCATCGATGTTTCTAACTCTCTATCCCTCTCTCTTCCTCTCTGCGAAAAATCAATAAAAAAAAATATATTTTTTAAAATTCATCAGACAAAGGCACAGGTCAGGTATAAGTAAGAGCAAGGCTTAGGGGCCCTGCACACCGGAAAGATGAACGTGGCTCATGCATAAATGCAACAGCCCCGTAACCACTTTAATTATTTAATTATTTTAATATTTTCCATAGAAATACATAAAGTAGAAGACAAAGAGAAAGGATATTAATATAAAAGTGTACTAAGCTCTGACATTTCAGTAAAAGGCACCAATATTAGTTCCACTAGTTATTTTAATTCATTCAGATACACCCATAATCCAAAGCACTCCGCCCAGTCTGTGGGAAGTGGCTCTGCTGTGTGTATGTACTTACTGAAAAAAGTTAACATGAAAATCCCATCGTTTCCTATCCTCAGCTGGTCAGCGTCATCAAAATCATCCCGACCCACAAAATCCTCATCCTACATGAAAAGAAAAAGAATAAGGTAAATGCACAATGAATTATTTCCAGGCAAAGGAAAGACATCTAGAAAAAGAGAGAGGGACAAAAGTAGTACCAAGGAGAAAACTTACTGCTTTGGCTCAATTCAAAACTATGAGCATTAAGGATCAGTATGGTTTTTAAATGTCATTTTGCACCTGAAACTTACATAATGTTATAAACTGATGCTACTGCAATAAAACTAAATTTTAAAAAGAGAACTAAGGGTAAGATATAATTAAAGAACAAATCTTTCTTCCATCTCCAATTTCCTAAGTGATTTTTTTTTCATTTTATAACCCGTTATTTAACAATATACTTCAAAAATTATAAAACTTTACCAAGTTCCGTGTGTGTGTGTGTGTGTGTGTGTGTGTGTGTATCTTTTAAAAAGAGAACATTTACTTATACATCTGGCTTACATTCTAGAATGTCAGTAATCCAGGGCCTATGGAAGAGACACAGTTGAGTAGCTCAGGTGTTTTATGAGACTGACATTGGGGGGGGGGGGGGGGATGGCATCATCATACATGAAGAGTCTATAGGGCTGCCCGTTGCTCAGCTCCATAATCATTTATGTGGGAATCTAGGTCTGAAACAACCTCATTTCCAATTTTATTGGCAGATCATATATCTTTCATCCTAACATGAAAACGTAATATTGCAGGTCTAGAAGGAACATAATCTTGATCAACATTGACACCAACATACTGTAGCCTACCTTTTCAACTGAGGTAGTATGTGTTGAGACACTGAAAAATAAGTGAATATAGGCTTAACAGTAAAAGTGGTGGACTTGTACACAGCCAGTAAGGTTTCCTCAAATTAAACAAACAAACTTGAGGGGCAATCAAAACTTTCTCTCCACAGAAAAGGAGCTTGAAACCCACAATAAGTGCTTCCCTTGGGGAGTTGGACCTAAAGAAAAGGGAAGGATCAGTGGCAGCTTCCATTTCTAACTTAACATGTTTCCTCTATTGTTTAAAATTTTTATAAGATTTTGTTTGTTATTTTATGTTTTTAAATACTAAATACCCAGTATTCTGACTTCATATTAGCAGGATAAAAAAAGGCTTTCCCAAATTAGAAACTAATTTTTTTTTTTTTTGCATAATTACTCAAAGATATACATGCTACAAAAATACATGGAAGTGAACTCATGATGGTCTGACTTTTTCAACCATACGGTGGTGTGAAAGTGATATGCATTAATAAAAACTGGCTAGGCTAGAGTAGGATGTTTGTAGTTTAAGTGTGTTAAATGTATTTTTAACTTACAATATTTTCAACCATCAATTAGTTTATCAGGATGTAACCTCACCACTTTTGCCAGGAGAATGTTTCTAAAAATCATACGGGTCTGATCATAACCCTGTTCAAAACTATAAAGGATTCTGTGTGACCTGCACATAAGTCTAAATGCCTCAGCCTTGGTATTCAGAAAATTCTACAACTTACAAATCGTTCTCAAGCAAAACCAATGACTAAATCCACAGAACCTGCCTTGTACCTGGCTGAATTTACACCTGCTTCTTGGGCTTTTCCTTCTGGAATGCCTTCCTTAAAATTCAAGGCACAGCCGAAACCAGTTTGGCTCAGTGGATAGAGTGTCGACCTGCGGACTGAAAGGTCTCGGGTTCGATTCCGGTCAAGGGCATGTACCTTGGTTGCAGGCACATCTCCAGTAGAGGATGTGCAAGAGGCAGCTGATCGATGATTCTCTCTCATCGATGTCTCTAACCATCTATCCCTCTCTCATCCTCTCTGTAAGAAATCAATAAAATATATTTTTTTTAAAAATTCAAGGCACATTTCAAATTCCATCTTCCCATAATCACACAATAAAAAGGCACAGTGCTTATGCTCATTGCTCCTGTGCTGCTGCTTAGATATGGGTATGGGGGGGAGGTGTCTTTTTCCCAGATGGATTTATAGCTCTTGGCATGGACACTGCTTTATACAAAGCTTTCTATCTACCCATCTCAACATGCACAGCAAGTACATTGTATTAAAAAAAAAAAGAAAAAAAAAGAAGAAGAAGTAGTAGTGCTCTATATATTGTAGGTTTGCTGAATAAGAAAACTCTTTAAGATGTTCCTTGCCCAGTCAGCATTGCTCAGTGGTTGAGCATCGACTTATGAACCAGGAGAATGCCATTGTAAAAGCAGAGAGATGGGATCTGAATTCACAGTTCGATTCCCCGTCAGGGCACATGCCTGGATTGCGGGCTTGATCCCCAGTGAGGGGTGTGCAGGAGGCAACTAATCAATGATTCTCCCTCATTACTGATGTTTCTATCTCTCTCTCCTTCTCCCTTCCTCTCTGAAATCAATAAAATCATATTTAAAAAACAAAAAAAGATGTTCCTAAATATGTATGTACACTTGTGAAATAAAAGTATTCTAAAGAGTTCTCTGATTAGTCAGATCTAGTCTTTAGGTCTATTTCCATCCGACAGTTGCCATATATTCCCACAGGTCTACAGCGTACATACAAGGCCTCTGGCGTCTAGAATATCTGGGTTTGGCTTTCATCTATGTTACTTATTAGCTATATGACTTTGGGCAAATAGTATTCAAGTTTTTATATCTGTAAAATAGGAATAATATATTAGTAATTCCTACTCTGTGATGTTACTGAGAGGACTGGAAACAATATACAAAATACTGTATGAAAGCACCAAACATAGAATCAATCGTGTTGTTTGTTTCCAATGCACAGAAGTTACATTAAGATTGTTTTGTCCTCAAGACAGCAAGCTTCAGGAGGTTTTTAGTTTTTCCCTGGTGCCTACAAGAACTGAATGCACATCACCATACAGAATCAGCCTAATTAGCTTATAAAAATTATTATTTCTGCCAAGCAGGGGTTTTAGGAGCCCCATCCCTAAAGATATGGTCTGTAAACAGCTCCCTACCCTAAGGCCTGAACTTCTAGGGGTTGTGCATTGTGTTACCCGGACTGAGCTTCCCTTCTTTCTCATCTTTCACTCTAGTTTCCTGCCAGAACTAGAGTCTAAAGTCCTGATCACCCCACATTCCTGGAGACTGGATCCTGCTTCCCATTGTCTCAATATCCCAAGGCCCTACCTGTATCAGCTTCAACCTAGATGGATATTTAAACCACATCTACATCATTTACAAGTCTGACATCAAGAACCAAGGGTGCCCCCAAATCTCGGGCTGGCTTTTATCGCACCCACCAGCCCTCTCATTAATTAACAGGTCAGATGGGGTCTGAATTCACTACTGCCCTACAGATGCTGTAATCTGCACTAGTGGCACAAGGGTTCTCTTAGATGGTTGTCAGGACCCTTTTATGAGTTTAATTTCATGAAGTTGCACTTACTCATTATCTCCATAATCTCCCCAACAGCTACCTACCTAACACCAAAAACTGAAGTGTGCAGAAGCAAGGGAAGTCTGTATATTTCCTAAAACAGCTCCTGCTCCAAGACACTTCAGCCATGCCAGGAGAATTGAGAAAGTGATGATAGTAGTAAAGATACAGAGAAAATGAACTCGCTTAACTAGTAATTTTCTTTTCATTTATAGCTTTTGCCTTACCATTTTCAGGAAGAGATAAGAGTTTATTATCCCCAAAGAAAATATGCTTGTTTTTAAAAACTAGTTGTACTTTTACTAATCAATACAATTGTAAGTAATAAATCAAAGTGGCTAATAATGAAAATAACTTGATTCCCATGGACTTACTCTTCCAGGAACCAAAGGAACAGTAGCTTCAGCTTTGGTTCTCTCGGCTTCATCATAGCTGGGCAGTGTGGTAGCCACATTGTAAGATGGGGGCTTTGGATACCCAGACTCGTCTTTGTAGTCAAAATACACTGCAGAATTAAAGGAAGTTACAATTATCTGATGATTAGCTGAACGGAGGGGAAAAAAAGATTTTCACTAACTTTGGCAATAAAAAACAGGCACTCCTCTAAGAGCACATGTACATAATTGAATCAAGAGATGGTTATAAATATAAGAATATGGGAATGATTTGTAAATTTATCTACTTCTCGCCCAATCGGTGTGGCTCAGTGGTTGAGTATCAACTTACGAAACAGGAGATCATTGCTGGGATTCCTGGCCAGGGAATATGTAGGGGGCAAACAAAAGGCAGCCGAACAATGATTCCATCTCATCATTAATGTTTCTATCTCTCTCTCCCTCTCCCTACCTCTCTACAATCAATAAAATGTTTTTAAAAAGAAAGAAAAAACAGCTTCAGGTGAAATGCAGATGTAAATGGGAAAAGTAAAAGATTAAATCTTTTAGAAATAAACACAGGAAAATGTGTTAAAACTAATCTGCCACCTAAGAAACTTGGGTGTTTTTTCCCCCCAAGTCAAAATAACTATTTAACATACATACATAAATATATGTATATATGTATATATGTATATATGTATATGTATGTATGCATGAGGCCCCGTGCACAGATTCATGCAGCAATGGGACCCCTCGGCCTGGCCTGTGGGGATCAGGCTGAAACTGGCATCCGACATCCCCAAGGGGTCCTGGATTGCGAGAAGGCATAGGCCTCTAGTATGAATGTATGATCTTTGGTTAATCTCTTTCCACCCTCCCCCTTCTCTCTCTGACATTCATCAGTCTGTTCCATGTTTCCATGCCTGTGGTTTCTACTCCTCCTGTGTTGAGCATCTGCCCCTTGGTGGTCAATGTCATAGCTACTGCACGATAGGCTTTTAGATAGATAAGAGAGAGAGATAGATAAATAGATAGATATATGCATGTATACATATACACATGTGTATGTATATATTATAAAATATTCCATACAACTTCCTATCAAATTTCTTTTTACTTTTAAATCAAATCATACTAAAGTCACATCACAAACAGAAATGTACAGTTTGAATTAGCCACTGCCAGAGTAATTTTTAACACAAAAATAATATTGATATCTACTATTTAAGTTGAGGAAAAACAAGAACATTTAAATTTCCCTATTTCAAAAGATTTTTTAAAAATGGAATCCATCCATATAGATCTCATATAATTTTAAATTTCCATGAAAAATTTAATGACAATCTTTTCAAGTTTATTTAGTACCAAAAAAATCCAGTATTTTATTTTTTACTGTTAAATTTTATCTATCACAAATTAAAATAGGTAAAGTGAATATACAAAACATTGATTTGTTATTTCTCCCCCCTCCAAAACGGGTGTTGCTTTCTGTTTCTTTTTTCTCATAAATGGACTAACTCCACACAGTTCACACTTATCTTAAAAATAAGCCATGTTAATTTAACAAATGGTGGAAGGCTATTTAAGCCATCAATAAAATTTCCTTTAAAAGAGAGAGAGAGAGAGAGAGAGAGAGAGAGAGAGAGAAACCTTATTTCATAAATAATTTAAAAATGGTCTTGAGTAATTTATGATCTCTAAAAACTATTTCCCTAACCTAGAACTAAAAGAGTTCACAGAGACCTTGGAACATAAATGTTTGTTTTGTTTTATGTTGTTTTTTAAGGCCTCTGTAGTTGGATAAAATGCCACAAAACCCAAAGACCTTATTCAGGAGAGAACTCTTCAGGCCTTATTCTAAAGTTTCTTTCTTTATGCCCAATCTTAGGAACTTTGGTTATTTGCTATTGAGGCCCACAGCAAGATTAACAAAAACAAGAGAAATAGGTAGAGAACCTCGTGCTAAAAGCAAAAGGAGATGATATCTGACAAACCAGGGAGGAATTAGGTTCTTGAGTCAAAAGTTCTACAAATCCCAGTGAATAAAGGAATCACCACTAGAGTACAGAAGAGAATACCTTCCAGAGATTGTTTTTGTTGTAATCCCTAAACCACAAAGAAATTTTTAAACAGCCCTAGTGGTTTGGCTCATGGATAGAGCGTCAACCTGAGGACGGAAGGCTCCCAGGTCCGATTCCAGTCAAGGGCACATTCCCAGGTAGCGGGCTTGATCCCCAGTAGGGGACATGCAGGAGGCATCCAATCAATGATTCTCTCTCATTATTGATGTTTCTATCTCTCCCCTATTCCTTTCCTCTCTGAAATCAATAAATATAATATTTAAAAAAAAAAAAGGAAAAAAAATATGAAATGCCAGTGAATAAGGGAAAGAAGTGTTTGAAAAAGATTTCTATCTAAAATGGTTATGGGGAAAATGGGGGACATCTGTAATACTATCAACAATAAAAGTATACAAAATAGAACCTAAGATGTTCAAGAAAAATTATCTCCTATAAAAATGAAGAACTTTTATCATTAATAAAACAGAAATCCAATTTCTTATTTATCAGTTGGAATTTTCATGAATGTATTTAATGGAAGACCAGTACTGATAGTCTAGGCCAGCAGTCGCCAACCGGTGGTCCACGGACAACTAGTGGTCTGTGAGGTCCAAAAGGTTGGCAACTGCTGGTCTAATCAGAGATGAGTGAATAAGGACTAGCATTGCAATTCTTTCCCAAGTCTTGCTGTTGTCTTAATTTGATTCCACAAGACACCCTAGAATTCTTCCAAAACCATGTTAGCATTATTAGTTTCAGAAACTTATAAATAAAAATACCTTAACTAATTCAAGATGATGAGGTTCAGAATTTGAAGCCAGAATAGAGGTGAGAAACTTTCTATGATCCTCTAATTATAATTGCAAGCTCCGGCCACAGAGACTACCAAAAGATTTAATCTCACATCAACTGATGACAACTGCCTGAGGTGCTGTATTGAAAGGATCTGAGGCTGTTTGTTTGGTATGAATGCTGTCTTCAACTTGCCTATCCACCCAGAGAGTGAGTTGGGTTGAGTTGTGGCACCATGGGCCATGTACTTGCCTCAATTCTATTTTAGAAAATATGGAAAAGGTTTCATTAAAAGTGGTCAACATTCAACAATAAAAGCAGTTATCAGAAAGCTCTAGTTACCTACCAAAAGTTGTCAACTAATGAGATTTTTTTCTTCCTTCCTCCCTATTCCTTCTACACAAACATATGAAAATTAAAAAGATAATCTGACATAATGTGGGAAGATGAAAGGTTAATTAAGGAAGGTGGAAACTATGAGGAACATTTAAACCATGAGGAACAGAATGAGTTAGGAGATTTCTAGTTGTTTTGTTTTTAATTAAGAAATTTACTAGCATAAAAGAATGTAACACACTATATTCTACACCATAGGTACTACAATCACAAAAGAGCAAAAGAGCTAATAAGAAAACTACAAAAAGAACAAAAATTAGGTAATGTACCTGGTTCCTAAATTTCTACTTCTTTTATATTAAGAGTCTGTTGGAATGAAATTGAGTTCCAAAATAAAATGGGATTTGACCTGTTTTTCAAAACAGTAACATTAGTATTTTTCCACTCAAGCTACAAACTAAATATAATTTCAAAGACTATTTAAAGAAAGCTGAAGCAAAGGTAAACACCAATAACACATACTACACAATTATATGGCTAAGTGCACTCCAAGAGCTCAGTGGTCATCCGGCCCGTTACCTACCTACTGCACTCTCTGGGGAGATGCTGCTGTAAGGAGGAGGAGCATCACATGCAGCCTGTTCCAGCTGTGCAGGCTCTTCCACATTCTGCAACTAAATAAAAATTTCACATTTTAATTCAAGTATAAAACCAGTAAGATAGAGAAGAACCTTAAAACTGGAATATCCTTTCTGGAAAGCTAGTTGGCAATTTGTTTCCAAAGTCTTAAAATGTGCAAATCCTTTACAAAGTATTCGACTCCCAGAAATTTATCCTAAGGAAATAATCAGACAGAGGCAAAAAGATATATATACAGAGAAGGGCAAAAATAGATTTATAGCTGTGAGTATTCATAACACAAGAGTTTATTCCTGTATCATTATTTACTAATTGTCTTATTTTCCTTACAAACAACTATAAATCTACTTCTGCTTACCCCTATAAATGTCATTGCAGCAAAAATTAGGAACAACCTAAATTCCAATCATGGGAAACATTAAATAAATTACAGTTCATCTCACAAAAGCTTACTAAGCAGCCATAAAAATGAAAACAAAGAAAATTTGATGGCTCAAACAGATATTCACTCTAAATACTATTACATAAAAAAAAAGAAACCACTAAATTTACCAAATAGTATACATCATACAATTTGGCTTTGAAAGATAGTTAATGGAAAGGAGGTCTAGAATGATAGATATCTACAGCTTACACTGTTTATCTCCAAGTGATGTGATCACAGGAATATTTTTTATACATACGTCTAACTTTTTGTAATGAACATTTGTCACTTGTATAATTTTCTAAGTGACAAAAATAATTCTATATAATAAAAGGGTAATATGAAAAATGAGCAATCGTCAGAACAACCAGTCGCTATGACGCATATGATCACCAGGGGGCAGATGCTCAACTCAGGAGCTTCCCCTTGGTGGTCAGTGCACTCCCACAGGGGGAGCTCTGCTCAGCCAGAAGCTGGGCTGATGGCTAGCAAGCGCAGCAAAGGTAGCAGGATGCTAAGGATGTCCGACTGACCGATTAAGCCATCAGTTGGACACCCCAAAAAGGTGCAGGCCTAGCTGAGAGACCCCCCCCCCACCTCCAAGTGCACGAATATTGTGCGCCGAGCTTCTAGTATAAAAGTAATGTTAAGACAAAGACAAATCACACAGACTAAGGTTTACCATTATATTCAGTTTAGGCATGGAAATTAAATCTTAAAATATAAAATTCTACCTAATTATACATATAACCTCTGTCAATTCATCTAACCATTTCCTCACTAGTCAAATCTATAGCTGCAATTACTTTAACTTACACTGAAAGTGTGAATTTCTGCCATTGCCATATGGATAGTTTACCCAATTCATCTTCATTGAACAAAGACATTTGTTTTAATTTTTCCAGTGTGACAAAAGACTACAGCTCATTTAAAAGATAAACTGGCTGAGAATGGGAATCAATCTGTAAAGTAATAACAGAGTACTCACTGGGGGTTCTGCATCCGAGCTGTATATCATCATAATACATACTGCCAACTAAGCCACTGGGAAAATACACAGCTTCTAAACCAACTGCTACAAAGAACTCTTGAATTGAGAGAGAAAAATAGAGAGTCTGACCTATCATAACATGAAGTAGAGCTCCTTAATTCATTACATTTTAACTAACCATCTCAGTCTCTAATCCTTACACTATTCAAAATCGGAAGACCACAAAACTTTTCTGATTTTACAAAGCATTCAATTTCAAATGAATTTCTGTATCAAATTTCCATCAACATTTACCATCTGATCACATTTTTTAAACCCCTGTAATCTAATGTTAAACTTAAAGCAAGCCCAAAGTAATTATATTGTAACCCAAGATAAATTTTCCTTTTGTCACTTGTATAATTTTCTAAGTGACAAAAATAATCCTTATAAATAAAAAGGTAATATAATATGCAAATTGACCAATCTGCAGAACAACCGGTCGCTATGATGCATGAAGGAAAACATATGGGCAAAATAGCTATAGTAATGCCAGTAGTCCTGGGACACCAAGTCAGTAAATTCTTTAAAGAGAGTTCCGGGGGCCATGGTTCACTCGTTATTCTATCCCTCCCTCCCCAGAGAGGTACGGAGAGGAGAGGGAGAAAGAGATAGAAAGATCAATAATGAGAGAGAATCACTGATCGGCTGCCTTCTACACTCCCCCTAACTAAGGACCAAACCTGAAACCCAGAACTCTAATCATGATCACAGAGCCACAGGCAGGGCTCACTTGAAATACTTTTAACATTATCTGAAGCTCTACACAGGGTATTCTCAGCCGACTCCTAACCATACTTTGTGTCCTAGGAATGTTGCAAAAGAAGAGTCTTGCCCTACCCAGGTTTGGCTCAGTGGGCAGAGTGTCAGCCTGTGGACTGAAGGGTCCCAGGTTCTATTCCAGTCACTAGTACAGGCTAGGGTTGTGGGCTTGATCCTTCCATGCAGGAGTCAGCCCATCGATGGTTTCCTCTCATCACTGATGTTTCCATCTCTCTCTCCCTTTTCCTTCCTCTTTCAAATCAATAAAAATATATCTTTTTTAAAAAGCAAGAGTCTGCTGCAAAAACAGAGACAAATATGGACTTTTCAAGAATATTGCCTTAATATACTGTAGCTAGTAATGTTTTATTTTTAAAAAAATATATTTTATTGATTTTTTACAGAGAGGAAGAGGGATAGAAACCGATGAGAGACAATCATCGATCAGCTGCCTCTTGCACACCCCCTACTGGGGATGTGCCCCCAACCAAGGTACATGCCCTTGACGGAATCGAACCCGGAACCTTTCAGTCCGCAGACCGATGCTCTATCCACTGAGCCAAACCAGTTTCAGCTAGTAATGTTTTTTAAATCTAGTAATGTTCTTTAAACATAGCTTGATGTCTTTGACTTGTTTTATACTTCCTGAGCTTGGTCACATAATCATGTTGCCTCTGCATAATTTAGGTTTTAGAAAGGAAGCATGGCAATTCTAAGAAATTACAGAGGTCCAAAGGATAAAGAGGTCTAATATGTCAGTATCTATACGATAGGTTGCCTGTTTCCTAGCAACCTGAAAATGAGAAATTTGATCATCCCACACCAGAGTAACAGATAACAGAGCAAAGAAATTCCAACCGTCACAGAAATCCCCATTTTCTCTTTAGTGAGCAAAAAAGAAACATTTATAGGTGACGGTTTTTGCTCCATTAAAATTCACCACTTTAGAATCATATACTAATATTATTTTCAACTGAAAACGACAAAAAACACCCACTCTGATTACAGAGGCTCCCCATATTGGAAAGATCCAGAACTTACTACATCGACATGTTTTCTATAATGCTGGTGATACATGTAGGCACTGTCAAGAAATGTGTGGGAGGAAACTACTACAGTGTGGGAGGAAAAGACAATCATCTTCAACAAGTATTTGGTCACCATCCGGGGGAAAATAACTTGCTAAACAACTGAATCCCTAAGTATACATCTCTTTAGACTTTGGGGACATCCTCGGCCATTATTTATTCCTCTCCCAGCTAAACAAGTCAGGCACACGGACGAGGGGTGGAGGGGCGGGGCACATGTGCACTAGAACTGGAGAGGGACTTACCGCCAAGGCTATAAAATTGGTTATTTGGTTCCAAATGTTATTTTGAGGTTCCCCTTTTCTGTCCCTGAGAACTGTTCCTGTGTAGTCCTCCCTGCCACATCCCTGGGGCTCAGGGATCTTCAGGTCTCCACTGAGCTTCTCAGAAAATAATCGCATTGTCACTGTGGGGCTGGTTTTGGAAAGATACCGTCTCTTCTATCAACTGGGTCAGTGGGAGCCTGGGCACAACCTACTGTCACAGAATCCTGGTTTGCAGGAGATACTGCGAGAGGCTTTGAAAAGTGGTGGGACCTTCTGCTCTCTTCCTGCTATGTGCTATTTATTAACAATGAAGATAATAAATACATGTTGATTCTTTTATGTCATGTTATTTTTTTAACAAGTTTGATCAATTTTATTGATCTCTAAATAAGTAAAAATGGCTTTTTCCCAAAAAAAGAATTATACAATTACCTACATACCATATAAAGTACTAAGCTTAGTACAAAACTACCTATAACTAGCTATATATCCACTGCTGAGATAGGAATAATCCAATGAGCGTACAATTCCGATGGGCCCTAGACTGTGACTCACTCAAACTTTCCTGGTGCCCCTCTCTTTACTCTGAGCAGACTCCGTCATGGCTCCCCGGAAGAACCCTAAAACTTATTCATGTTCCACCATAGTTTTATCACAATCTGCTATTGTTTCTTGGCCTTGATCAACCTCGATTTACTGTTTAATATTTACCTACAAATAGGTGATAATATTTTGCCTTTTAGATTTTGCCTATGAAATACATATAGCACACCTAAAATAACGGATGTTTTCCTCCTTACTACATTCCTCTGGAGCCTAACTATACTGTTGCTATTAGAAATAAATATATGATGTTTTAGCTACATAACAGTTTAAAGAATCCCCTGTACAGAAATCATTCACAGCTCTAGTTACTAATAGAAGCAAAATTGAATTTAACAAATTTAAGATCTCACATCCAACAGATTTAAATTCTCATTTGACTTTCCACCCCAGCAAGACTTCCTCACTCCCCTCCCCTAAGTAGTTCTAAAGATAATCTTCAATTTAGAAATGAGCAATTTTTAGGCAATAGCAGACCTAGGGCTACGGTTAGGCCTAAATAAGGAACAAATTTTACAATTGTACCAATGGCAGTACCTAAAGGCACTTAAAAGTCTTTAAATTGGATTCTCTCTATTCACTAAGAATGGGACGACCAAAATAAATAAATAAATAAATAAATAAATAAATAAATCCCTACTAAACAACAAAAAGAAAAACAAAAAAAGACATTCACATAAATCCTTATACACAAGAGAAAGTATCAAAATATGCCACATAATTCACATGAACACAAAAACCACGCGGAAAATAATGCTGAACTACCCAAAAATTCTGTGAAGTAGAAGTATTGTATACCACTCACTTTTTTCTTGGCTGAGTCTTATTTAAACAGCAAGAAAATTATAAGATTTTTTAAAGT